TATAAACTGGAAACTTGAGAGCACCCTCCTCCGCTCCCCCACAAATCACCCGCTCCAGATTGATAAGCAAGCCTCGCCCTTCCGTACCATCAATCCCGCACGGTCCTGCAGGTGTTAAACCTACGCCGTTTACACAGGATCAACCCTAGAGATAACCTAAGATCCAACAGCTCCAGATTAACACAATCTGTAGTCTGTCTTAATCTGGCTTATAAATTTTGAAGAGTTTAAAATGGTCCTGGTAACACACATTTCCAGCAGTGATACCATCAGTGATTCTCGGAGATAGAGATAGGGTGATGACCAAAGCATCATTTATGGCCTTAATGTTACATCAGTGGCCCACAAGGACCAAGGAGAGTAATGGTGGAATAGCAGGGAACTAAGTCGGCCTTTCTTCTTCAAGTTGGTACATCAACGTTACTTTTGTCAAGTTGTTTGTGCTGCCTTTGTGGTTACCAATTCCGCTACCAATGAGGTCAAAATTTACCAAATAAACGAGTGACAAGTTACAGTTGTTTCAGAAAGAGCAAGTAGTGTTTTTGTCTTTTGGACAGTGATGCCACAAAAGTACATTGTTGCATGTTACGTTCTAAAGAAGACTGTAGACTTGCAAAACAGGATCTGACATTCGTTTCTCAAGCCATGTCAATCTTCCTCTGTCATTGTGAGAAAAAATTCAATGCAAAATACATCAACTTGTCAAATTTCAATTCCCAACTTTCCAGGGGTTGTGGACTCTTCGAAACAAGATGTGACAAGCAATGTCAGTTTTTCTCTGTCTCTGTGGGAAACGATTCTGAACAAAATACATCACAACTGATCTACATGTCATGAGTGAATTCCCAAGTTTCTGGTGGATTGGATGTTCCCTTTTGTGAGGTGAACTGTACATGATTGATGGCAGGATGTTACCTGTCCACCGGGCAGATAGGGTATCTACCAAATGGAGGATCAGATTTTCCCACGGAGAGGTTTCGAGGTCAGTATTGGCTAATCAATGTCAATTCTCATCAACAACAGAAAACCGAGAGAACTGAGGATAGATACCAGTTACTGTACAGCCTTAAAATCAAACACACAATGGCTTATTTCAATACCCTACGAAACTCTATATGGGTTTTATCTGTACCTACTGAATGCATTGGAGCTTGAATCTATACAGGTTAGGATGTTTTATCAATTGTTTTCTCAAGAATTTCTGAATGAAATAGATGGAAGACACCATGAAAAATACAATGTAGATGCCTAGCAAAACCTACATGGTTGCTGGCTGCTATTAATGTCTTCTTTTTGTAAAAACAAAGTTTTGAATGGTAAAAGAGAAACTTTGTCATAATTGTTTCTCACTTACAAAATGTATGCCAACAGAACTTTAAAGATATTTAATGATTGTTGCAATCGTAGCCATTTCATTTGCTGGAATTAAGTACAACTCTCTGTGAGTTCCAAACAAACTAAAGACCCCTTCTCCCTCCCAACTCATCCATCTTACGGCCTAAATGATACCTCCCACCCTCCGTATCATTTGCGAGGGTGTCTGGTAACGCACCAATTTTTACATCACTTTATCATATTTCCTGACAGTCGCCGCACGTTCTCGACCATCAATGTCACTTCTCCCATTTTTCATGTCAATCTCCCGCTGACTTTCACTTTGTAACCTGCTAATAGGTGCAGAAGGACCTGATTTACGCCTCGGATTTGCCCAAATGGAGGGCAATCTGAGAAAATAAGTGGGCGCGAGGATGGGAATTCACCACAAAATTTACGAGCGGCCGCAGAAATAGCCCCCTTGAAAGTATCCTCTTTCCCTACACTTTGCCGATATATTTGTCACGAAGACTGGGCTAATGGGTCTCCTCAACAGCTACAGTGTAAATGGTTCTTAAATGCATATTATACATGTCATTGAGCAGCACGCTGAGCCTAGAATTATCTCACGGCTTCCGCAAACAATTGATTCCTTTAATGGTTGTGGCACTGCTGTCATCCACAGTAATTTGGGTAAGAAAAGCCGTCAAAAACAGCAACCATTGTAAAAACCTCCAGGAATCAATGCTACAAGATAAGGCCATAAAATTCAACTTCTAGTAGTTTGTCACATTTTTCTTGTACAAGATTGGATAAAGGAGTAGAAGACGAAAGTTAAAACTTATCTGAATTCCGAGTACTGTGGTTCTAACTTTACTTGTGAACCAAACACCACTACTGACTGTGAGCATGTAATCAACCCCCTATACATATTAAGCACAGGCCAGCAGTTATGGTTTAATCAATGACATGCACTTAAAAGTTTGGTCATAAAGCTCACTTTCTGCACTCCAAAGTGTATCACAGGTAATGTGCATTTCTTCTGAGCACCCTAAAGCAACAAGAAGAAATCACAATGTTTTCAATCACAGGGCAACAAGAGTAACATTGAGATGTGGATTTTAACAGTGCCAGTAATGACCCAAGGATGAAGGATATTTCCCAAAATCTAATCACTTGTTACACACATACATGGCATTCTCTCTTTAGAAAGGAAGAATCAGAAATATTCAAAACCTACCGAACATCTAGTACATTAAAAAATACAGATCAACATTACTGAAAACACCTTGCTAAGGCATGGTCTTGTATGAGGACTCAGGTGCTAAGGTAGGAGGTAATTAACACTAGCCCCTACCACCCCACCTACGTATCACCTCGCACTGGTCAGATTTGCACCCCTGATTCATGCATACAAATAAGTATTTATCCTTCGATGTGCACTTCTCCATTTTATGGGACTTAAATATCGGTTTTCACCCCAAATCTGGATAAATCAGCTTTAATTGGTCCCCGAGCTGACATGTTTCACACTAAAACGCTGGGATGAAAGGCTATTTTGGCTGCAAAGATGTATCAATACCTTCCTTTGTTGAGGATATTTACTACTATTCTATTGGCCTGTAAATAAAGCCTTCCAGGCTAGCCAGTAGTTAAAGTGGCAAAGTAGGAGATTAAGTCATCACGAACTGACGTTATTTACACCACTGCTTCTGTAAAGTTCCGGGGAAGCAAAGGCAGAATGCCAGAAGTACTTTTTACGAAGGCTGACTTAAGGTTATAACCTTAGCACATAACACTTCAGCAGGAAAGTTACGGTTTCAGCAATGTTTGTTTGCTTCTTAGTTGGTTCATCTACAAAGAGAATGACTCAAAAATTTGCTCAGGACTTTGCTGTGTGCATGTATAGAAGCTTAGCTTATGATAAGAGACTGTAATTTCTGTATGCAGAAATTTTGTAGGGATAATTTTGTGAACGTTCCAATTACAGCTCTCTTTTGAACTGTACATTTACATTACAGACATGTAAAATCTATATACCATTGTAGAACACTGTACTGCCTTGCAGAGGCTTTCCTTACTGTGCACTTTGCACTTGCTCAAGTCTCTGGCACCTGATGCTCCATACCTTATAAGGCATGTGCTCAAATTATGGTCTCAGCTTTCAGGTTCAAAATGCTGGTATTTGACTGGTGGATGGTATTGACGATGTTAGCTTGCGGCCAAACGTACTCCTGCAAGTGACGCACGTGTATGCTGTAACACTGGTTATTTAACCGCCCTGAACACACTGAACCGGTACTACCATGTTTGGACCTTCCGCCCTACTGTATAGAAACAGGTGGCCTGTTAGATTGTATTCTATGTTCCTTCAGGAATAAGAGAGGGTGAGATGCCATGATGTCATGGGAATTGAGCAAAAACTATAAAGAAAACAATTGTAAACATTTAGCAAGGCCACCTCTTTACTGAAAGTTTATACTGCAAAAAGACAATGCTAAAAATTATGTTAAGATTATGTAATTAAGACAGCAAATCATTAAGATAACTTCAAAAGAAAACGATTGTAAATTTAAAAGACCTTATGTCTGCTCTCTTCTATCGACCATTCTTGGATTGCCTGTTCAGTAAGCTGGTTATATGCTGCATTTATATAACTCTCACGGCCTGAATATGTTTACTAGGAAGCCCAAACCACAGCCTACTCACATCGCAAATTAGGTAACCCTTGTTGAGGGGTTACCTAGGAGACGCGTGGGCACCACTCATAACACCCCGTATTTTAGGCTGTGCGTAGCTAGACTGGACGAAAACCGTAGGTCTAATCACGTCACTGATTTCCCCGCGACTAAAAATAGTAGCTGCCATGTAGCTATTGACGTCAAGGACCTGCACAAAGCATTGTGGCAAGGACGGCCGAGCCTTTTATGGCAGTCAGGTATGGAACGGGAAAACCTGCTACCTTGAATAAAGGGAAGAAGCCCCACAAGATTTACTTCAGTACAAATGCAAGTCCCTGACAGACACACAGTCAGATGAATTGTCTTGTTTTAAGGGCAAAGAGCTGTTTTTTTTCTCTTGTTAAATGTTATAATAGCAATAGGATAAGGGTGACTAGTGAGCAAAGTCAAGACCAACTGGGATTCGTAAAACTTGTCAAGCGTGGCTACTGAAAGTTTTTTCCTGTATCATAAGCTGGGACGACTTTGGGTTTGAAATTGGATAAACTTCTAAGATGTCAACACTACCGGTTTGAACGTAAGTTTCTCCTGTTTTCTTCGTTTTAGTTGTAGTAATGAACTAATGTTCAAAATGTCGACATTGTCAATGTGCCTTGAAGTGTATAAGCTACCATAAACTGACAACTTGCTAGGAGCTCTTTTTTAAAGTCCAGCAAAACTGGGAAAATATTCTGATTGACTAATAGGTTTCTTTTCATTTCCCTAGCACCCCTTTCATAGTTGTTCATACAGAATCTTGCAGCTTGATTCTGTACCATTTCCAGTTTACCTTTGTCTTTCTTTGTAGATGGATCCCATACTGTTGTGGCATATTCGTGGCAATAGGTTGAATTTGTATTCTTTTGGGCATCCTTTTTGCGCTTTTGCACAAGATCTGTCCTGCAAGAGTTGGTGTGAGCTGACATGGGCGTGGTGTTGCCATGGTAATACAGGTGGTTGTCTCACCTTGTCCCTCCTCATGATGAAGATGATGTCCTCCACACCTATAAACCTGGCTCCTCTCTGGATGGTCACTTCTGCTGCCTGGTGTAACTACAAAATATGAAAAAACAAACATCAATTTAGCAAACATTAACAGGATTCAAAAAGAAGCATGGCCACAGAAGCCAATACTGTGTAACGGCTTCTTTAACAAATTTTCTTTATGTACGTGGCAAAAGGCAGGACAGCTAAAATAATACATATTTCAGCTTTAGGTTGGTATGTAATGAATTGTACAAAGCAAGACCATTGCAAGATTTTGTCCCAAGTTATCTGTTTTATTCAACATTGTTGCACTGCTAGGTGGTGTGGCTAACACATGAGATATAAAATGGCTTTTAGGAGATTTTGTTATCTCCCTAAGGAATCACTGTAAAATTTCTAAATCCCCTTTAACACTTTGCTGAGCTGTAGAACCAGTATGTAGAAATTGTTGTATGTAAACTCTCCAAACCCTCCAAAGCTACTTTGTATCTTTTCTACAATCTTTCGTTGGAAACAAGCCAAAGAAACTTATATAATTGGTGAGGCTTTTCTCTCGGGTTCTTTTCAAGCACCCCTAATTATGACAGACAGACCCGGTAACACAAGTGTATGTTAAGTACTTGTCCTACCCTCCAGCCTTTAGTTAGAGTTTCCTGTCGGCGCATTAAGATGTATCAACTATTCATATTCATAACTTCTCCCTTTGTCAGGAACAAACCACGCGAGACGCGGATAAGGCACAAATTGTTCGCACAAATAAACCCAAAAGCCCGCCGACAACAAAACTAATACAGCTCGCCTGTGTGATCAGGTGCTGCTGAGTCACCCTCTAACACTAGAGGGGCTGATCTCTGCACAAAAGTACCCTTTGTTTAACCATACTAATTGGGCTGAAAAAGACCTCTTAAACAAAGACCTCCCGGCTAGGGAAGGGTTAAATTCTCCGACTGTCTATGATATAATGACTTAATCTTCCATATTGGAGAACCGACTATTCAAACAAGTGAGCAAAACAGATGAACAGCAATTAATAGAAAAAAGGGCCTTTGTCGGGTCTTTGTCTGATGAAGATATTTTAACTGTTAAGGAAGATCGCCCGACGGGAAAAGAAAACAAAGGATGATTATACTAAGCAGTCCCTAAGCCGAACTTGTGAACAAGTGATCTTTGTAATTTGTAGAATTAACCAAAACAGGAAAGAACAAGTTGCAAACTACCTTCCTGTGAGAGAGACAGAGAAAAAATATGAAAAGGAACAATTCATAATGAACTGGTTGTGACTCATACATTGTCCTTTTAGATTGAGCATAAAAAGAAACAAACAGCTCTTAAAAGAAAAGAATTTGTCAAGTCTTCTGAGTAATTACAAAAAAAATTGTATTCCACAATACCATTGAGATCTAAATAAGAATAGAAAACAAAAAAGATATTGAAAACAATCTCTATACATAGCAGAAAATGAAATAACTGGATAAACTCATAATAGACTCTGGAGTCCAAATCATACAAATAGGGTTTCGTATAAACTTATTTGTAAATTGAGTTGAGTATCATTTTTACTCAAATTTCATTATGATTGTAACAATAGACCATGTCTGATATCTAAACCAGTCCTAGCAAGTTCTATTTATGAATAACTGGTCAGGAATAAAACCTGATTTAGGAAAACATTGTAAAACAGGATAACAGTAAGTTAGATAAAATTTACAAAATATTTTACTTCTTTGTGTCAAAAATTTGATTGAAGAACATGCCCTTTTCTCACCCACAAACACTAAATCCAGCATATTATAACATATTTTCAGTAACAGCATTTTCTATGAATTCAGAAATCCTTAGATTACCACCTTAGATTGTACAAATACATGTACACAAATGGCCAAAGCTCTGATACATTCTCAGTAATTGTGATAGACAGGACTTCTATGAAGAGGATTACATATTCCACACTCTGTTACTTACAAGTACCAGCCTGTGTTTAACATAGTGGTTACGAAAAGGAACAGCAAAACACTTAAGAATCATCTTAACATTTCCCTTCCATGATTAGATTCAATTGAATTCTCCCTTTCTTCTATCAGAGAAAAAGTATTTCGTTATCAAATCTTGTACTCCTTGTTTTACACTAGCTTCTACAAAAGGTAACATGGTCAGTGTCAATTCTCTAATTGGGTACAAAAAGGTCAAGATGGCACCTGTTGGCTGTTTGGTTCCCACACTTTTCAGCCTCTTCACAGACACTTTTAGTGCAAAGAAAACCTCCTCTTAATAGACAGGTTTCCTTTACGCTCAAGCACCTGAGACTACAGGGACCAAGTGTTGATTCTCCTGTTTCTGTAAAAACAAACCCTGCAGCCCTCTGATACATCAATCTTGTGATATATGGGAGTCTGGGTTTGTTCACAGCTACTAACCTTCCTGGGAACTACCTGACCAGTGAAGTAAGGTCAAGACATCCTTCAGCACCTTAAAGTGATGTTTTCATCAGTAAAGGAGCAACAAGGAGTCTTCACAACACTTTACATTAGGGCTGGACAGTGTCATTTTTAGTCCTCTGATTGATTAGATTTACCAGAAATAGATCATCCAAACAGATTTTGTAGAAATCTAAACAGAGACAGGTGTGTAGACTGGTGGAGAATCATGTGTTGGAAAGTGTGGTCTTGACCATTTTGAAATCTGTTTGAATTTTTTTTCAATCCCTCTGTTTACCCCTTCTTTAGCAGATTGGATATATTATATCCTGATCTGCATTTACTTTCACTGTGGCTGTATTTTCTGATAAGAGGGAAAAGGAGGTTTCCGCAATGTTAAAACTTTGTGGTTGAAACAATTCTGTAGTAAGAACTGCAAAACATGTTTTAACATATTTACAGTGTTATGATTTAGTCGTAAGAGGTCACCACGAAAGCCGTGAAAACCATAAAAATAACCACTAACATTTCAAGGTTTATAGTATATTAACAACATTTGTGTCACAATGGCTAATAAAACTGTGCATGAGGTGCACAACACACTAGTAAATCACTCTTTGTTCAGTCATTAATTCTAGTATTTTTTTTACAGCCCTGCACTCAGATTGGGACCCTAGTTTTATGTGATCCACAGATATGATTTTGTCAGTCCCAAGTGACACACATTCAGGCCATTAGCACAAGTGGTGCTTCTTATCAGTTATGACATCAGAAGTATGCAGCTGCCTGATTGGTCGACTCACTTGGGAGGACCCATATTGCCTGACAAGAACACATCAGGCACCTGTCATCGGGGACCTTAGGGGGTCCTCTATCTGGCTGCTGCTATCTTCTGTTCTCTGCTAATCTGATTTTCTTTTTCCACCATAAAGACACAGTATTTCCTATATTAGTGGAGGGTCCGTATGGGGCCAATCAATATCATCAAAATAATGGCTACAATAACACCAGGACATTTCAATCATAATTGACAGCAGTAAAATTTGCATCATTTTTGCCACCGATTTTTTATTCCTACATGGGTAAACTGATAACCCCTTAATGAGCCTCCAAAGTGATAACTGGGACTTTCCCCATTTTGACCGCCATCTAGCCACACTGACCAACTGAGGCCTGAGGTTGACCTCACCCAGTGCAGACCAGCGACACTTCTGGACTTCCTGGAACTTGTCGGCTTCGGGTGGGAATTCCAGGAAATCGTCTGCGGTTGCCGGAAAAGGTACTTTACCTTGACCTTCTTCTTGGTATGCCTGGTGTGTGATTCAGCTTGAAATGTTTAAACTAATGTTGTGGTATATCTACATCACCTGCACGCTTGGGACTTTGATACTGTACTTGGAGAAAATTGATCTATTATTGTTTGCAAAAGAAAAATGCTTTCATTTTCATAGTAAAGCACACTGTAGATGCTGTATTTAAGGGCAGACTTTCTCTTACCTAAAATTGCTGTTCATTGTATAGACATAACTTCTGTGGTGAAATAGAACAAAATGTACAAGATGAGAATATAACAATCCTTGTAATTGTTATATTGCAATTGTTTGTTTCTTCCTGAAAATGTTTAGAAAAATAAACAGATCTACCACAGATCATTCAAAATGGTACAAATCACAACATAATCCAACATAGCATTTTTACAGCTAACAAAGTCAATTTCCTTATCACCTACAGTTACAGAATAATACGAAGAAGCAATGTTATGATCTTACTGAAAGTTTTTGCAGACATGATTTCCCTCCAACATGTTGTGGTTGGTCCCTGGTGTGATGAATGAGTGAGAAGTGTGAGACACTTCCACATCAGGAAATGACACCAGATGGGTTTTTTTATCTCCATAAATGGCCACAGATGACTGGTTGTGGTTTGTGCCAACCCTTGCTGCATTGGCTGGTATCATGCACCCTCTTCCCTAATAATATTGTCCTCTGCATTATGCATTTCAGAGCAAGAGTTCTAATGTGCAACTCTTTCAAAAATTCTCCTTTTTCTGAAAATGTCAAAGGCATTAGCTTTGGTACCTGGGCAGTCTTTTTCAATGCCTCTGCACGTGAAAGAACCCAACACACTTATTAGATATCTAGCGGAGGTAACCTGGTGTGCTAGGCTGAAAACATGAGCCGTAGTCAAACTACACTGCAGTACTACCAGATACATTTAGTCCAAAAAGCATCATGCTTTACCTTTACCTAATTCATCAAATAATCCCCAGTTGAAGAACAGTTCTAGGGATTGTGAGTTAGCTAATCTTAATCCTCATTTAATTTCCTCTGTTCTCCTCAACTGTCCTGTCTCCCCGATTAGTGGATTAAAGAAGGATTTAAAGGATTATACTAGTACCCAAACTCCAAGATTACCCCAAACCAAAAACTAGATACGACCATCTACATAATCTCCAAGCAGATGAAAAAAAGATACCGGTGCTTGTTACAAACGCCTAAACATATGTAAAAAACAATAACATTGATGCCCAAACCTCTGCTTGGAGAGTACCTCTACCCTCAGTGACCCCCCCTCCTCCCTCCTGCTCATCCCATGTCTGAAGGTTTCCAGACACCAGATGTGAGGAGGAAACCAGGAAGTCACAAATGTCATCTGTCTGACTGGTACATCATCCTCCTAATGAAGGACAGTCCAGGAGAGATAAGAGGGAAGGAAGGGAAAATCACAGGAAACAAGAACAAGGAGAGTTAGCAAAAAACACTATTTTTCCCCTTCCCCTAAATGGAAATACTGGGAGGGAAATGTAAAAATTGTATCGTAGGTAAAAAATATAACCCCTGACAAATCAGATCGTAGTAATCGCGGACTGTACGACAGTAGCGCGTCTAATTAATTTCTTTGATCTGTCGCCCAAAGAACTACACTGGGAGGGAAATGTAAAAATTGTATCGTAGGTAAAAAATATAACCCCTGACAAATGGAAGATTTTGTCACCTGAATAGTGGTTGAAATGTCTGAATAAAATTCCAGATTTATAATTTTACTCCTGGATAAGTAAACATTTTACTAGTACCCTGACAAATTGCATTTTGGAAACATTACCTTCGTAATGATCAACAAAAAGAAATGTTTGCTCATCTTCCCCTGCCAGTTAGAGTCTTGAAGAACCTGTAACTTGGCTGTTAGTTTCAATTCAATGCTGACTTCACTAAGTAAAGAAGCATTTCCTTTCTTTGTAATTTAATTACACAGTGATTACTTCTTACTCTGCTGTAGGTAGGGTTCCTTCCTGTATCCATCCTGGTAATGAATAGTCTTAATTACAGGGCTCAAGTTAACGAGCTGATAATCATACGCACACACTTCTACAACTTCTGCTAATTCCTTCAAACTGGGAGTGGGAGGTAACAAATCATCTGAGTTCAAAAGCTGAAAATTCATCTAAAAGTAGTTAATTCTAAAAGTAGTTAAACTAAATTAAAACTGCATTTGCTAAGGGCACACAAAAACACAAGAATTCATTGATGCATTTGTGGGTTATCCTGTTTACAAATTAAGTAAAGGAACTAGAAAAACTCAAGCAAATAGTATCGACTTGTAGAATAAATGTAAGTAAAGCAAAAACAACTGGCCACCCTGGATTATTTAAACATGTTGTCCCTCTGCTTTTAATTATAAGCAGTTGTTTCATTGATTGGAAAATAACCACAAAATGGGTGTTTCCTGTCCACAAGTGAAATGGACCAGATCACAGACCAGACCAGGAAGCTTCCTCCACCTGTTAGATTGTAAATCTGTGTGATGTAAACTGTTTATCTAACAGTACTGTTCCTAGCCTGGAAGCCAGGTTGAAGCTAGACTTTGTACGCCTCGGTGAGGCAGCTTTCCGAGCACAGTGGTGCTCTTCAGTACGTTGGGCGAAGGTCGTAGGGGGGAAACTACGCCTGCGGTTTTAATCCCCCGTTCCCTTCTAGTCGTATCAGTCTTTTGTTGTGAAATGTCTGTCTTTTATGTCATTATTTTATTTTGATGTGTCAAGTTGGCAGGAGTGGGTTGGTGGGAGCACTTGGACAGTAACATGTCGTGGGTAGCTTGGCACATCCTTTTTCTATTCCCCTTCCTTTGTCTATGTCTCAGTCACGTTGAAAAGTTGGAAAAAAAAAGAAAATAGTTAAAAAATCTCCTGTCTCTCTTGTCTAGTTTTCACTCCTTTTTGTTTTTATTATACCCCAATTAAAAACGGAAGCCAGGTTGTTTCCAGGGAATACACCGACCAGCATAGCCTGGGTGCCAGACTGTTGCCAAGGCCTTCACAAGCCAGCTCCTTGGCACCAGAGGCAACATGCCCCCAAGGAAATGTTTGCCACAGGGTAGTGTGTGTAGGCCTTGGAAACTGTCTGACTTCCAGGTTACAATCTTCTGCTTCTTTAATGAGTTTGAGTTTGAGTTTGTGGATTTTTATAAGAGACTCTGTAATGGTTGTGTCCTTCTTTACTAGAACTACGCTTTGAGCACGATAAAGAACCAACTATTAAAATGATAAACAAGTTATTGCATTAGCCTGGCCTTATATAAAATATCAGCCATAATGTTCACCTAACCCCTGCCATAACTGCTATGATTACAATGAAAGGGGCACAGGCTAAGAGCATGTTTATTGTTTTTAGCCCTCTGTGGTTATGGGACAAACTTGTTAACACTTTATCCCAAGGACTTCCAGTTTTACAGGGCTGGCCAGTAGTTCTATGCAGACCTATAAATGGTTGAAACTGTAGTTTTATGTTCAGTTTATTAAGATCCCTTGTTGACAGATGGTTTCCAGGGGTCAAATCCCACTAAAACTGACCACTTTATTATTATAATACTTCGTTGCCTTTTTATTGAAAGTCTTGTTATCCTAAGCTCAAGAGATATTTTCCCATGTTTAGTGAGATTTGGGACACGAGATATTGATTTAGTCCGAAACATTTTCCATACCAGCAAAATATAACACCACTGGGTCTGTGCCTTTCACATTAAAAAAAAACCAGATTATATATTTTTTTGTATAATATGCAAAGATTCCTCAATTCACCTGTCTTTCCATGTTACTGTAATCTTCAATATATAACACAATATCTCAAATACTATTAGATAGATGGGGGTCAACTCTTCCCAGTAGGAATTCACCTTTTCACAAACACGGACAAAAGGTCAATGGATAGTTCAATTATGAATCAGAAAAGAGCATTTTGATTGCCAGAATATTTTATATGATAGCCTGTTATGTCCATTCTCTATTGTTTGGCCAGTCTATGATATGGTCTGACTTTTTAACCCCACAAGTTTGGGATAGGGGTGAGTTTAACACTTTCCCTACCACCCTGTGATGTAAACCATACAAAGTTGGCCAGTGGTTGAGTCCATAGCAGGATGAGGGTTAAAACTGGTGTTGACGAGTTCTAGAATTGACAACTGGATTAATATCAAGGGAAACAGCCACTCTGGAGGTTAATTACTGCATGCAGGTTCAACATTTGCATTTCAATGCTTAGATAAATTGTATCTCTGCAGTACAGGTAAGGCCTCCTTTCTGCTACACACTGTGATCACTGGTACAGCAACAGTATTCGGTTTGGTGATGAGAAAATGATGCAAGGTGTAAAAGTGTGATTCAAAAGACAACAAAACACACAAATAGATTTTAGTAAAACAGTCCTTGTATCTTTGAAATTCTTGAGTGATCTCTCATTAATAATCTTTGGTCATTCAGATGTTGTAGCCTCTAGTAGCGGAAAGGTGGTGGACAGACATTGACAATGATAACAGAATTGTAAAAGAGTTCTATGCACACATATTTTCATTTGCTTGTACAGTTTGGAAATATGTGTCACCATGACATAAAATTAAAAGGTCCTGTTCTGCAGCAGGGCACTTTTGTGAAGAGAGATAAAATAGAGATCTAGTGAGTCCCTGAGGAATAGGTAACCCTATCTGTGTGTTCAGTTGTGCCTCCCATGGAGTTTGGTTACTCACTCTTCAAAAGTCAGCAGCAGGTCTGAAAGACCACACACAAGACAAGGGACATCCCCAGGGCACAGCCAGTACAGTTACTAATGGAGGGAGGGTTGGGACATGTAGTTGGTTCCTCATCACTTGAGGCTATGATGGGGGTAATTGGTATCAGGTAATTTTGATAAAACAAAAAATTAAAAACTAGTATTTGTGAACCCTTAATACAACCTCATCTTTAGAGTTATCATACAGCTTACCAGAACAGCACATAAATATTACATCAAGGAAGACTTGATTTCAGGGTTACTTTGCATGTAATAAATAATTACAAATGTAATGAAATGTTAACCCATTATGAATTATAGTTTTATTGTGGTTTTATATTCACTGGTAGAAAATAAACTTATTCCTCCTAAAAATTAAAGTTACAGATTGGAAAATAGAATAGCTATTAAATTCTGTACATGCTGTAGTTTGTGTGCATCATGTTAGGAGTGCTGTTAGCCTTTGTTTGAATGTCTGTGTGTGGTAGCTATAGAATCAATAACACTACTTCTTTGCAAGATAGAGTCGCAAGGTTTTACCAGCATCTTTGCATCTACAGATGTTCATATTGCAAATATTAGCTTATTAGGTACCATTTACATAACTGCTCCAAATTCAGATTGAATCAGTTATCACTTACAATGATCTAACACTCAAACAATAAAGGAAACCATTCCTAAAAGACAGGTAATTGAGTCTACTTGTTTGAGCTCAAGAAAGGGATATATTGTTCTCCTGTCGGTCTGTTTGTAAAGATCAAAGAACCGGTTGACAAACAAAACAATGGGAGTTTTTCCACAAACACAAACAAAGGCTATCGGTTCATGAAGCCCACATCCCCTTGTGTCCACCCAAGATTAAGAAAACATAAAAGCTGAACTGAACTGTGTTCTGGGAGAGTTGTGCAAAAGTAGTAGAAGAAAAGTATGGCTTTGGATGAAAATTCTTTTTAAACATTCCCAAGAAAACCGAAAGCAGCTTGAGTTACCTTTTTCTTTCTAGATGTTATCTATACTGCTTTTCATTTTGTCAGTAAGGCAACCCTTACCTAGCTAAATTCTTTCCTCCCTTAGAACTATACATGTCTTTTGAAGAGCACTTGTATAAAACTTGTTTTATCAATGACAAAATCTGAGCTCTCTCAGTGGTCAGTGGTCCTTGTTCTGATAAACTTCCCACCCACCACTGGTCCTAACTATTGTCCCATTCTCCTGTCAATCAAAGCCTCATCATCCCTCTGCCACACAATGCCAGCCTGTAGCCCTGCCCCTCCCCTCCAACAGGTCCCTCAGTAAACACCCCCCTCCCCCTGTTCCAGCAGGTGTGAGAACTCTGATGAGCCCCACACTCCCTCACAGTACATCACCTATTCTGTCTCCACCAGCTGAATCCCTCACAAATAGGTGCTAATCTGCCCAACCTGTCCTGTGTCAGAAAGGGTCATTGGTTGCCTGATGAAGTGTGAAATCTGCTCTGCCAACAGGAGGGGGAGATAAAGACTTCAGTAGGGACAGGGAGTGGACCGGCGTGGTACTCACTAGACTGGTCATCTGGCTGTGGACGACTTCTTCGATCAGCGCGGCCGACGACTGCAGCGGACGGCGGTGGTCACCAAACGTGTACCTGAAGAACACAACAGCAATACAGGTAAGATTTAGACATCATCAATAAATTTTCTTTTAGATGTTTCAACCAAGGAACCTCTTTGTTTTTCACCTAAATTAATGATTTCCATGCCTTACTTTCCTATTTTATATATGAGGTAATGTTATTACTTCTTGCTATCACAAACTTGTAACATTGTAAAGGACACCATTATGAGTGATGTACATCTCAGTGCCTGTACCTCATCTCCATAATTAGTCATTTTCACGGTGGGGGGTAGGGTATGTTAGTACTGTACTAACCCAGAACCATTGCAAAGACCTTTCCACACATTCAGATGCAAAACATCTTGGGTCCTTTTTTTATTACTTTATAACACTTTTCAGAAAGTGCACTGAATTTTGTTCCTTGAAAAACTTCAAGGCTGTACTGCACATTGTTGTATTTTGCTGTTAAAATTCACTTTCAAGCAGACACCAAATCAAAGGAAAAAGTGATGTTTGTGATACAGAACAGGTGATCGAACAGACAGTTTGGGTAGCTGCTGCATCCAGTATATCTCTATTGTAATCTGCGTCTATCAACTGCCTGAATCACAAACAAACCAAAACAGGCAACAACAACACGACAAAACAGACCAGAAAAGACCAACAGAATCTTCTGAAGGTAAGACAATTATGATATGGCCCTGCTATTGTTATATGCAGGGTGCAGTTGGCTGGGAATGTTTAACAAAGTGTGGATAAGCAGTTTATGTAAATGGCTGTTTACCCTTGGGACCAGGGATTTGTGCAGGGTCGCTCCATAATCAGTAAATTCCTCCCAACAAACTGAGGAGCGGCAAAACACAATACACAACAGTCATGACAGTAGTGTGTATTGGTGCATGTGGTCAGCTTGTGTAGGGATTGGTCAGCATCTCTAACTGTTTTGTCATCTGTTGATGTAAAAAGTCTAAACTTTTTATTCAGTTATTCATATCTTGATAAAAGTAGGCACTTTCATGGCATTACGTGATTACCGCATTACGTATAAAAGTGATCTTGTTATGAGATCTCAAGTTCAGGGGTTAGAATCCAATCAAAGCATTGAACCCTATAACAGGTTGCTACAGGTGGAGGTTATAACTTATATTCCCCACTAAAGCAATCTTTGGTATTGTCAAGGAGCACTAAAGCCTCCTTGGTATTGTGTAAAAACCTGCTATCTAAGTTTAAGTAAATGCGCATGTATGTCTTTCAATAGAACTTAGTCATTCCAATGAAGATATCATGTAGACTGTACAAAGTTCCTTCTCAGATGAAACTTTTCTCAAAATCAGGACATGTACTTCTTTGTTCGGAACTTCTTTGCAGTTACAGTTAAGTATTTTAAAGGCTTTTGTATTTTAAAGGCTTTTGTCAACCCTCATTGAGTAAGACTGTAAGAATGGCACTTTCACATTTGAAAAACAAGTTTTCAAAGACCCTGACACAAACTTTCTAGGATCAGGAAACAAAAAAGCAGCAGCTGTCACATGGGTGACTCACAGACACTTTCAATGGTGAAAAAGCATGCCTGGCGTGTGCCACCACTATTTGACCAGCCATCCTCTCTTTTATATCAACTATGGCCATTCTTTTCAGGGATGCCGCAAAAATTTTCCAAAGAGACAAGTGTGCCTGGCACGTACTTGTTACCCTCATTATACAAATGTTGTTTGCTGCTTTCTTTGTTTGTTCCAGACCTCACAGAAAGTTTCTAATTGCAGAAGTGTGTCTGCTGGCAGGTGCAGTGATAGTGTTAGACATATGTGACACACTTTTAGCATATATCATGTATAGATACAACCCACTGTCACTTTGCCTAAAAAGTGGGGTCAATGGCTGCTAGTACCAGTTTCTAACACAGTTTGTAACAAACTCTCACTTTCTTGGACACTGTATGTTTCCTATTTTCTTTGTTGAATACAACCAGCAAAAGTACTGTACTGTATTTAAAACATGAAAATGAATCATTTGATATTTTGCTTTCTGCTTCCTGTAGTAAACGTATGCATAATATAAATATCATCTTTTCCTCATTCAACAATAGTCTTTAATTTCAAATTCACAATATGTTTCTATTTCCTTTAATTCTATTCACACTGCCTAGTGTGCACAATTAGTCACTGACCGATGGTGTTTCCTTCGGAACTTCTATTTCCGACCTTACCTCCTTTGTTTGCGTTTGACCAGATTTTCCCTCAGATGTCTACCGAAACAATGGGGAACTTTAGGAGCCCAAAAAAGATTGTCTGGACAATGATTGGGATAGGAATCACTAGGGAGAAAAATGTTTCAATCAGAGAGAGTGTGCCTGGCGTGTGCAGCGAGCCTTTGTCCCTTTGAATCCCATTATCTGCCGTTTTACCGTTTCTGAAAAGAACGTTCAGTAATTGAATGCGTTGTCCAGTATTATGTCCAGGGCAGAGTCGCCAGTTTGGGAAAAGATATGCTAAATACGTTTAAAGCCAATTACTTTGCATTCATCAGGAGGGAAAATTGCAAGGAGCTCAGCAGTAATAGAACGGAAAGCTTTGTTGTTGGAGGGATTGGACACCTGTCTAATTAAAGAGCTGAATATAGACTTTTCAAGACAATGGTTGCTCTCATATGTCTGCTCTGTTGTGAATGTGATCTTCAGTTTTCCTCTTTTATCTTTTGTTGGTTAGGGTTCCTTTTTCCTATGGCCTTGAATTATGAAATTGATAGCTTTTTTCTCATACAAGATTTCTTGCAGTACATGTACTATCTGTATCTGTATCGGTATAGCCGGTATAACCGCCCTTCGGCGTAACACACCAGCAGGTACTAGCATGTACTAGCAAAGGAAGCAACCGAAATAAGGCACCATGAATTCGAACATCCACTGAGACATGTCAGACCGTCCCAAAGAGTGAAAGACCCTAGCAACATGCTGGCAGAAATAGAAGCTCAGGTTCAGTTTTTGAACTGCTTATCAACTCCAGGGGGGTCTCTGCTGGGGGTCAGATCACCAGGGAAGGGTCAGGACCCTGAGATGACCTCTAGCTTGTATCTGTCCCTTCATACAACAGTAGGGCAAGAACAAGGTCAGGACCTTTCCAGAAAGCTTCTGTTCCTTTGAATGTTTCCAGAAAGAAACAGACCAAATGGTTGTTTTGTTGGTAATGGCAACATCAGTCATAGAGTGACAGAATCTTTTGGTGCAAAGGCAAAAATCTTTTTTTTTTAGAATACAACTGTTAACGATTGTTTTAGACCCTTGCCATTTTTGTTCTTGAAGAAAAACTTAATCCTAAGCATGCTACACCTGTTACCTTGTAAGTTGTAAGTAAGTCTAGCTACTTGTACACTTTGGCTGACAGAGCTCATTTCATACATGTTCTTTTCCGTTTTGCGCATTGTGTGCCTGTCCTAGATTTGTTCCCTGTTCTATACACTTTCTAACCCCTTGTAACAACCAGAACTGATCCTGTTGGTCACACCAAGTGGGGAAGTCAGGGGGGGCAAGCCTCCTGTGATAGCTTTATGAGGTAGCTGATCATGACTCACTGAGGGACAAGGGAGAGAGGGGGCTCTAAATCAGGGTTTGGGACAGTCTCTGTGGTTTAGAATATCACCCGCTGAGAGAAACTGTAACAAGTAAAGCGACGAAGTCAGCAACTTAACTGTAACTGAGATCCCTGTTTTACGATTTTCTTGATTTTGACACAGAAAGCTTTGCGGAGAACAAATTTTAAAGTGTAAATGTATACTTAGTTTTATCTATCGGCAAGCATAAACGTACAAGAAAGTTTTCTTAAAAGTTTAATGTGGGACCAGAATATATCATGATAACCATTATGGCAAAAGCTAAAGTTCAAATGCACCTTTTCAAGAAACACTTCTATCGCTGAAAAGATATTTCTGTTATGAAGATATGATAAATATTAGTTTCTAAAGTTTGAACTTAGCTACATTGTAACCTGTATAGGCATATGTGGGACCAGAATATATACTGTAAAACAATAACTACGTATCTCAAAAGCTTTTGAAATTTACCTTTTGAGTAAATATCTGTTGGAAAGATCTTTCCGACTGTGACAAACATCCCAACTCATACACACAAATACCATCACAACCAAGGGTATCATGGGTAATTAAGTTATAATTAGATTACTGAAGGAAAACCAATTCCTATGCAATAAAAACCAATAAAGGAGTCAAAAGGTTATCTCTGTTTTTCTCCCCAAAATGCATTAAACACCTCAACGTGCACCGCAATCTATACCTTTTATGTTGAGTTCCCAGGGCCATCCATCTACTGTTTATGCTTCTGTGCGAGCCACAGTAATGAGACAACAGCATACTTCAAGGGATGATCACAGCATTAAGATACATAAATACACAATAAAACAACTAATAATCTGTCAAATCTTGCCTAATATAGCCAAGCCCTCTCAAAAGTCTAGATTCAACAGTAAAGTAATTTTGCTCCTGGACCAGCTGCAAGTATTGTAACAAAAGACCAAAATTGTATCTACTAGTATTCAAAACAATGGTTTAAACTGAATATAATCAAAAAGTGCTATGATTTTGCCTTCACCCACCATACATGGAAAACATTCTGTGCCAGTTAGAGTACAGTATACAGTGGAATTGACCTGACTAGTCCTTCAGTCGTGCCTCCAGTTTTATTTGATAATACATGGTATCAACAGTGATGATTGGGGCACAGTAAGGAGTTGTTTTTGTTAGAGATTATCCTGACTTGTAGCAAAGGCCGCAGCTCTAAGGTTCCGACCGTGGGGACTTCCCCCAAACTCTTTAGGTCCTGGTGCGTCGCACACCATAAGGAAATCTCCTCATCTTTCTACCTGATTGGGCAAGTCAGGTGCCGATCTTGACCCTACCGCCTGCCCCCACTCTGACAGCTAATCGTGCTTGAGCGCGTAACGCAATTTGTAACGAAGGCAGCAAACCATGCTGGTGCAAATTGGCGGACTTGTGGTCGCTGCGGACATGGCGAAATCGACT